CGGTCCCTGTCTGTGGTGTATTTTGTTGTTATGACTTGCGGGTCATGACAAGGATTGCCCCAAGATCGTGACTCACACAAACACCCACAGAATCTGTTGTTTCCTTAAGTTTTATTTATAGCCTGCCCGCATTGAAACGCACTGAAACGCCCAGAAACCCACGTTGTGTGTGTTTCTTGTTTCTCTGGTGAGAGTTTATCTTGACACATTTACTCTCACAACAAAAAGAAACAAAAACTGCTGGTTTGTGTCTATAATAAATACATACAGATTATTTATTTTGCAGATTACAGATGATTTCACCCCCATACAGATTGTTTATTTTACATATTACAGATTATTTATTTCACAGATTATTTCACCCCTGCATCTCACGGAGAAAGCTCACCAACAGTGTTCATGTCCCATTTTACAGTAGATCCACTGCCTCTCAGCACTGGGCGCGCTCCCGAGCAGCCGCGCCCCCACACAAAAGGTTCCAACACATCACGACGTGGACGCGCAGGACAGTCAAACCCACTCCCTCTGAAACACTCCCTCCACCACCCTGTTAGAATTTAAATTCAAACCATCCTCTGGGAATCTGATTGGTCAGTTTTAGAAAATAAAAATGATACTGAGATCAAATCACAGTCACATCAAAGGCACGGATTATATGTGACAGCTTTATTTATTTTGGGAATCCAGCAAAAAGATATTCAGGGATTATAATAATAATTGTAATAATTGTACACATATCCACACATGTCCTCATCATATCATACATGCATTCAACTGTAATTCTCTATAAATGTATATTCTTAAAATGACTTTGAAGCACTTTCTGTATGTAATGTAAAGTATCTTCGTCCTTTGCCCAGTACATTGAAGTTAACACGATCAAACACTGACCTCTAGTGGCTCAAATATATCATTACAAACAAACCCATTGAATTCAGATGAGACTCCCACCTGGATTATTTGAACTGTGTCTTTATTTGTTGTTTGGGATTAAATATGTCTTACTTCTACTTTAAGCAACAAAAAAAAGGGGCCAAATTCAGGCAGTTTAATGTGTGTAGGAACCAAGTCTCACTGGTATCCCACAGTCTCGCGGTATTTCGGGTAATTTCAGTGAATCAGGTAAACGGCAGGAAGAACGTGAGATGGCAGCACAGTCCCACCTGAGAGAAGCGTGTCCCTGGAGTCCTGCAGGAAGTTTCTTTAGACAAGTACCAAAACTTCCACATGGTGAGAGGTTTTTAGTCTTTTCTATATATAATGGATTCAAACTGTTTTTATTTTCTCATAAATCTCCTTCACTCTAAACCTGTGAGACGATATGAAACGGTAGGACTTAATATAAGCAGCCCTGTACTAGCTAACAGCGTCACATAGCATCCACCATCCAAGCGTGACTGTTTCATGTATTTGTTAAGGCACATGTTTCCATGTGCAGTGAATTCATTGTGTCAAATAGTTCTTTGTAAAACAGAATAAACGATATAGAGCAATGATACGACTTCAACTGTTACTTTATGGCATTGCTTCAAGAGGCAACAATAAGCTAATTCATGGCCTATTTAATCTCCTTGGTGTGACATTTTAAGTGACCTGTAAGGAGCAGGTGCTCAAGCTAACAACGAACCCCACTGGGGCTTTTTAATGTCCTTAGCTTTTATTTGAAACGACAGAAACCGTGTGGAATCCCAGTTCCAGGTGTCCCTCTCTGCGTCCACAGATCCAGACAGATACACAGTGAATTAGTGACATTAGGCTTCATGTCAGCCTGAAAAGAAAAGAGGGCACAACCTCATGAGACTAAACAATAAGAACAACGAGATGAACAAGACCAGTGCTCATTAAATTATGCATCCTCCTCACTGAGCTCATGAAACACAGGGAATGTGCATGAGTTAATGTGTGTGTGTGTGTGTGTTCACTTGATTGAGAATAACAGCGGCCGGATCTGAGACCAGTAATGATCTCTGCAGACACAGTGCACACTCTATTTAACTAATCGACATGGCTCCTGAAAAGAGAAATCAGAAGCTCTTTGTTGCAGCATGCTGGGAGGTCATTAGTTGTAATTAACAAGCAGACTCATCAGGCACATTTGGCACCAAGCTTGTGATTTTCCTTTCTTAATGACCCCAGAGTTTACGAGGTCCCAGTAAGTCAAGCTGATAGTGACATTTTTCAGTTTTGAAACTCACAACAAGAGGCTTGATCTGTGTCTGATGCCTCTGTCTTCTCCATTTTTTCTTCTCCTCAGAGAAGGGAGGTCCAAAGACCCAACCCCCAACAAGAACCCACACATCTGAGGTAAGACCTTTGAATGGCTGGTGAACATTTTTGTTGAAATGTGTCAAGTTGTCAGCGAGGTGTTAAACTGAATTTTAGGCCTTAAAAAACACACATACATTACATACCAGGTCTTAAAGACATTAAGTGAGGTCTTTATTTAATGATACTTCCATCATAAGCACATTGAGATAATGTTTGTTGTGATTTGGCAAAATACATAAAACTTAATTGGATTAGGCTTTGAAATAATATTTTTTAAGAAATATTTTGGCAACATGCAAAGTTTGTTGTGTCTGTGTGTTGTAGTTCTTCCTCAATGATTAAGATATTAACAAACTGTAATTAAGCTATAAAGAAGACCAACATGGAACTGATAACCAGTAGTCTGTAGTTTGCATGATATTGTTGCATTTCGAGGGTGATTCTCTTAGTTACTTTACCTTATCATCAATGATGGGAAGTGTAAGTTATTTGGGACTGTTCCTTCTGTCACTGTCGTACTTGACATACATCTTAAAATTTCATTCATTTTGGTCTTAAAGAGTCTTAAATTGAGATTGTTGAAACCTGCAGAAACCCTGGACAGATAAAATGCCTACTTACGAACAACCATGTGATCATAAAACATGCATCATGAGGCAGCAACAGTGACTCATCAACTTGCATGTTGCAATAATGAACAGAATGTCAAAGTTTTCCAGTTTTAACCTTTACACTTCTCTTTTCCTAATCTCCACATCTCCTGTTTTGAACAGGAAACATTAATCACTTTTTTTTAAAGCAAAAGTTATTTTTTTAAAGAACTTCTGTCGTTCTTAGACTTTCCATTGTCTGAAATTGTGGCAGTGCAGCCTCAGCACATTTCAGCAGAGTAGTCTGCATTAAATTAAGTTGTTTTAAACTGCCTCATAGCCAACTGATAAAACACACATGTTACAACCAGTATTAATATAAAATTTAAATTTAATTTTGCAGCTTTAAATGCACAAGGTCTGCTTGGTGTTTTGTGGTAAATTCCTGCAATGGATTGATGCATTTTATGTCACTAGATTGTATAAAATACGTACAAGACCTGACCTGGATGTTTAGGATTGGTAGTGATCACAGTAACAAATGAAATAGCTGTGAACAAAGTCACATTACGACCTGCACTGCCTTGTTGAAAGATGATCCTAGTTTGGCTGAAAGAAAGATACTCTAGTAGTGAGGAATAAGTATTAAAGATGTTTCACTACTTATGTTCCTCATTCAATAGTGCATAACGGTGACCTCTTAAAGGGATAATTAGTGTTTTACTCTCCAATACAACTAACTTAATCGTTTAAAGATAATTACTAATAAGTTAAGCTCCAGTAGCGTCTTGCTCAAGGTCACTCAAGCAGGGCATCGTGCCATCACAGGAGCAGGGTCAGACAGTCTGTTTAACCACAAGGCGTCCTCTGCTTCTTCTGTTAAATTATTAAGACTAGTTAATTATCAAACGGGGTCTGACCAGACTTGCCCTCATCAAATTAAAAGCTATATGATGTTTTGTAAACACCAGGTTACAGTACATTTAATAATGTAATTAAACTCCTGGGTTATATTGGAAAAAAACCCAGCACTAATTATACAATAACTGTGGAGAATAAATTATTTACGAATCAGAAATCCTTGGAGGGAGCATATACTTGTTCATTTGCACGCAACCTAAATTCATTATTTATCCCAGAGAATGAATAAATCGTCCCCACTAGCCTGTGATTGAACTTGAGCTGGTGAAAAATTTAGCCGACGCTGCTGTACCCCAGTGAGCCGCCATCTAATGAAAATAACAGAGCACTGGAGAAGGCACAGGCTTTAATGATTGCATTTGGGTTAAGAGTGGAAACAGAGAATAATGAAAGGGAGGAAGGAGACTAAAGACGTTTGTTTTAGAATTGTTTGTGAGATCCTACTTTTACTCCTGGTCTTAAATCCCTTCATTCCCTGGACTACATCTCTCTATACCAACCTACACACAGTGTGGATGTAGGGACCTAGTGGCTTCTCTTGTAGCTGGTGTAAGTGTTTGTTGTTGGGCAGCTGAGCTCTGATCTGCCTTAAAACCCAGCTGAGTAATTTCAATTTTAAACAGCATCTCAAAAGGCTTTTTTATCATGTCTTTTCAACTGGATAATACAACTTATACTAATACATGTGTAATGTGTATGAAGGTACACAAATGCTGTTGTTTATTTGCTTGCTTTTGCTTGTAATTGTAGTTTTTCGTAGTATTTTATTTGTCTCTCATTTTAATTCATTCTTCCTGATCAAGTTTGTCCTACTCACTTAGTTTGTCTTATTGTTTCACTGTGTGTGAGTCTTTTTTAAAGTGTTATGAATTACAAAGGCAGAAAGGAAGTCGCAGAAAGAAAAAGACAGAGTAAGGCGACAGGCTAAAGGAAAGAGGGAAAAAAGAGTGTGAGTGAGTTAGATGGGAACAAAAACGAAAGCTCATTGGTCTCTTTCATTTCCACTTTAACTAGGTTTTCTCTGAGGAGTGAATAGACGTGTGTGCAAATGTTTGTGTGTGTGCGCACGGTGGCCATAATGATCTGAGATCTTGCTCCCTCCGCCTCCCAGAGAGAGAGAGAGAGAGAGAGTGAAAGAGAGAGAGAGTGAGAGAGCGAGAGAGCAGTCGCATGCAGAGAGGAGCTGGGACGAGAGACAGAACAGAAGAGAGCTGTCAAGCTGTGAGGAGGCAGCGGAGAGACGACTTAGTTTTTTCTTGGAATACATTTCCCCCTCCATCTCTGAAGCCCACACACACCCTCAAAAATATAAACTGGCAAACTTCTGTGTGTGAGTGCTGCTGTTACCTTCTTAGAAGGAGTGGTGAATTATTTGAAGGATCTGGACTTACTCAAGCCTGACACACTTGGACTGTGAGGGTGTTTGGATTCAGCATCTTTGTGACTTGGACTCGAATTAGATTCAAATTGTGTTTTTAACAGTGCAACACTTAGGGCTGAGTTTGTATCCCGTGTGTACGTGAATATGTGTTTAGGTGCAACTTTTGAATCACCACTGCCCCGAATGCAACACTGAGATTTTGACTGTAACTGCCCGTGCACTTGTTAGCCCGAAGTTGTAGGATTGGACTCACAGTTGGACTGTTTGTGTGTGTGTGAGGAGAAAGGATGTGTTGGCCAGTGGCGGCGGTTCTGCTCGCCCACCTCGGGTCCACCTTAACGGAGGCATGGAGAGCATCTCAGCCAAGGCTGCAGTTCACACACTCTGGTAAGAGGCAACATTTCTTTTCTTATCTTCTTCAGTTTTTAGTATTCAAGCCTTCTTTGCTCTCAATGTCTAATACATCTGCTGCTCTTCTCTCTCTCTATCTCTCTCACTCACACACCGAATGGATGCACACACACACACACACACACACACACACACACACACACACACACACACACACACAGGTGACAGGAATCACACATTGATTCTCATTTTTCACTTTTCTATCTTCCCTCTCCTGTTAATGCCCACATACTGTTACATGTTAACACATTATACCTTTCTCTTCTCTGCACCGCCACCTGCCTCCTTCACATTTTTTGTTTCTTTCTCATCTGGCCCACTTCCTCCATCTTTGTCATCCCCTCTCTTAAATTCATTCACTGTCTTGTCTTTGGCCCCAGCATTCTGTACTTTCTAGAGTTCTGATGTGAGATCCCCTAATTAAACTGTTTGTTTTGACTCTATAAGACAGTTGTAAAATTAGTTTTGGATTCGGTTTTATCGTACTAAAGGCAGCTCTAAAGGTTGCTCAGACAGTTTAGCCAGATTACAGTATGCAAATTAATTAATTTAGAAATACAGCTAAAGTTCAGTGCACATGAAATGTCAATAATAATATTTATTGCACGGGGAAACAGTACAGACACAAATACAGATGGTACAGTTGGTTGAAGTCAAACTATTTAATCAGACAGCTTGTAGAATTCAAGATTTACGAACCAGAGTTGGGCAGTAATTTTAGCATTCACCTACTTCTTTCTCTTTTAAATAAGCCAACCTGACGTGGATAATATATATCAATTGAATTCACAACTTCTTTGGCAGATCTTAATTGGCTGAAATGTGTCTATATCAGTAGCAATGTTTCTCTGCAGCAGATGCAAAGCTTTCAATTACAATCAAGCTTCTCACCTAAAGGCAGCTTCCCCATCACAAACTGACCTCACTACACAAATGCCCCCTCAGGTTTTTGAAATAAGGTCTCTATTTCTATCAGTTTCAGTTTTGGCTAACAAATAAATAATTATATGGTGGCAGAAATCCCAGATCCAGATCAACGCCAACTTAATTATTTCTTGGCCCCAGGCCAATTTGTCCACCACAGAGAAATCAATGCAGAGCCACAAGGAGTCCACCTTAAAAAGGCAAAGTTAAAACTCCTTTGAACTAAAATATGATATATTTAGGATTTTCTACTGTGGTGAAAACTGAATCATGCACTGGTACGCTGCTTTATTGTGTTCTTCTTCATGCACTGCCACTGTGCAGCACGTTGCACAACACATGTTGTTGAATCAACATGCCGCTGTTGAAGAGGAGCACAGGCTGATTAATGGAGGAATTTGAGTCGATGGATCCTCCTAAAGGATGCACTGGCCTAATACAAGTTCTAATGGTTGTTGGCATTTGTTTTAACCTTTTAGAAGCAGAAGCGGGGTGGAATTTGCCTCACTGTAGAAGATGGGAACATGATGGTTGTGTGAAGAAAACTGTATTGACACACTCTGAGTTGTCCACAAGCAGCCTGCTCCTCCAAATAGGGTAGAACTTCATCCCATGATAGATGAGCTGTTGTTAAGGGCCAATAAACATAACAGTCAAAAGTAATTAAAAACAAGATATCTGGAATTTTGTAATTAAAACAGGATTTGAGATTCAGTCTTTTGCTGAGGCCTTTAGTTATAGCAAGTTGGATTCAAGTTCCTTTATCATGTGTACCAGAGACACAATAGAGTAAGAAACCAACTGATTACATGTGCTTACGTAAGCTGAAACACAAAGGGTCTGTGAAGTATATGTGATGAGGCTGGAGTCGACTAATCATGACCTAGAATTTACAGAGTGAGGAAGAACAGAATCCTTGTTGGATTGTCCCAGGTGGGAATTTAGCTTTAATGAAATGTGAATGTGAAAATGTGCGGAGCTGCTTAAGTAGCTATACGTATGGGTCTGTCGTTTTTGAGCACACATGCACTGCATATGTGCCTGTGTTTCCTTGAGCCTGTATTTATGTGTGGTTGCATGTATGTGAATTGTTTGTGTTCACATCACTTTGAGGACATAAGCATACATGTTCACACTTAAACAGAGCTGTTTCAGCTCCAGGATCCCTGTACACCTCATTCTTTATTGTCTGTTGTGCTGAGGCGACCGCTCATTTCTTTGAACCACAGTGGTTTGCGTGTGTTTATCTTCAGGGCCAGTGTGCTTGTCTGTGGAAAGAGAACCAAAAATGTGTGATGAATATTGGATTTATGTTAGACTCTGTGTCCACCATTATTTCTGTGTGTGTTGGTATGTGTGTCCTCTTTCTCACTCCCTGTGGGAGATTCATGTTGTTTTTTTCTTTCAGACAGACAGAGATTTTTTGTTATAGAAATGCTGTGATTAGAAAAGCCATTTTACTCTTCAGATACTGGCAGTTCAGAGACACCTTCAATTGGTATTTTTCTTCATCTGTGGAACTCATAGCTGACAATAATTAAAGTGGCTGAGTCCGACATTTAAGTGAATGACTTAACCCCATCTTAAAAAAGGTTTGGATATAAAAAGCTGTACTGCAGAAAAAACATCTAATTGATTTGACTGGAGCACTGAAACAGTAAAATAGTGATGAAATGATAATGATGACATGAAAGCCAGGAAGAAAGTTACCATGCTCTCTGTAGATGAAAACTAGTCGCTCAACATTTTATTCATGAGTCCACTAAGGCATTGTTGATATGTTTGTCTCGAGGTTAATGTCTGGTGGTAACATCATGCTATGCAGAAACTTGTTATTGATAGTAACTAGCCTGCTCTGTGTTGTCTTTTGTCCACCACTTTTGCTAATGCCTGTGGATTTAACTGATGAATTGGTCAACCTGTGTACCTGGGAAATGTCATGTGTTCCATGCTGATCATTATCTACTAACTTAAGGAGGTACTGTATTAAGCAGCCAAAGTTTCTCTCTCTGCAACAATTATAAACAGTAAATAACAGACATTTACCTCCTGGAAGAAGTCAGATAAAGGAGGATAGTTTTGATTGATTGACCTCCGGGTTATGGACCCAGCATGCTTCTGCTATGCCACTCTGCTCTCAGACTTGAACCCACAATCCCTGGCTTAGGAGGCCAGTGCCTTATCCATTAGGCTACTCTGGCATGTTTCACAAGTTTTTTTTTTCACACAATTTCCGTGAAAATACGGCACTATGGAGCAACATGTACACAAGCAACTTGACCTGCTTACGTTTCTGGAAGATGTTTTGCCTCTAATCCAAAAGGCGTCTTCAGTTGTAACTGTTAGGTTTCAGGTATTTTACCTCTGTGGGTCTTTGTTTTGAGAGTCATTGGGTTAAACAGGTAGGTCGTTGAAACCCCCAATGGCTCATGGATCATTGTTTTACCCTGAGTCAAGGTGTGAATGGCTGTTATTACCTGTAAGTTATAGAATGACCCTGCTATTATTTGGGTCTTTAGGGTCACAGGAGTTGGGGTGTGGTTGGGTATTGAGGTGTCTGGGTAGAGAACTCAGGACTGAATTGTAGGTAGATGACTGACAGAGGTGTAAAGCCTGAAACCTCCCATAGTCAGTTAGAACTAAAGACAGCTTTTTGGGTTGCAGATGAAAAGTCTTCAAGAAACACAAGCAAGTCCAGTTTCCTATGTACAGTTGTTCAACTTCACCACTCTGCTGTTAATCACCCCAGATGGGACTCGAACCCACAATCCCTGGCTCGGGAGGACAGTGCCTTACATATGTAGTTGAGGAGGCTGTATAAAAAGCAGTACTTTGTGAACTTTTTACCGACAGTCAGATCCTGGTAATCTGTTGTTAGAAGAGGATAGTTTTGATCTTTTGACCTCTGGGTTATGGGCCCAACGGTCACATCCTGGTAAAATTTTGTTAGCGGAGGATAGTTTCGATCTATTGACCTCTGGGTTATGGGCCCAGCACGCTTCCAGTATGATACGCTGCTGTTAATCACCCTAGATGGGACTCGAACCCACAATCCCTGGCTCAGGAGGACAGAGCCTTACATATATAGTTGAGGAGGCTACATATATAGTTGAGGAGGCTGTATAAAAATAGTTCTTCTTTGAGACATTTTAACCGACAGTCACGTCCTGTTAAACTGTTGTTAACAGAGGATGGTTTCAATCTATCGACCTCTGGGTTATGGGCCCAGCATGCTTCCGCTGCACCACTCTGCTGTTAATTACCCCAGATGGGATCGAACCCTGGCTCAGAAGGACAGTGCCTTACATATGTCGATGAGGAGGCAGTATAAAAAACAGTACTTTGTGAACAGTTTACCCACAGTCACGTCCTGGTAAACTGTTGTTAGCAGAGGATAGTTTCGATCTATCGACCTCTGGGTTATGGGCCCAGCACGCTTCCGCTGCGCCACTCTGCTGTTAATCACCCCAGATGGGACTGGAACCCACAATCTCTGGCCCAGGAGGACAGTGCCTTACATATGTCGATGAGGAGGCTGTAT